GTCCGCCCTGGGGCCGTCTTGTGCGAAATTCATTCGTAGTCGTCGCTCGCCGTGAACCGTGGTTGAGCAAGGACAACTTGGGGCTCCCGCCTGCCACGGGGGGCTGGCCATCCGTATATCGCATTCTCATGCGCACGATAGGTCGCACATAGTGTAATTTTCTCGTTGAATGGTGCTATGTGGTCAGGGAGACATTCGGCCCGATATCGCTCCGCCGCCGCCGCCTCCTCCTCCTCCCCCCCCTCCTCCTCCTCCTCCTCCTCCCCCTTCCTCCTCCTCCTTCTCCTCCTTCCTCTTCCTCCTCTTCCTCCTCCTCCTCCCCCTCCTCCTCCTCCTCCCCCTCCTCCTCTCCCTCCTCCTCCTCCTCCGCCTCCTCCTCCTCCTTCCACAACGGCAAAGAAAACCAAATAACACCAAATGAAAACAACACAATCAGAGAAACCAAAGGGCTGGAGCCGAAACACATAGAAACACCGAAGGAAAACTCAAAAAAAAACATACATACCCTTCCCACCCCTACGCTCCACCGAGAAGGGTGCCTGTTTTTTATGTGTTTGTTGTTCCTCAGGTTTTTGCTTAGTTTTCCATTCCAAGCCGTTGGGTTCTTTGGTTTGTTTTGGTTGTTCCTTAGGTTTTTGCTATTGTTCTGCAACACACCTGTTATTTCCTTGGGCTTTCTTTTGTTTTTCCGTGCCGCGGTGGGAGGATGGAGGAGGGGAAGGGGGGATGAAGGCGGATGGGGAGGGAGGGGGAACGAAGAGGAGGAGGAGGAGGAAGAGGCGGAGGAGGAGGAGGAGGAGGAGGAGGAGGAGAAGGGGGAGGAGGAAGAGGAGGAGAAGGAAACGGAGGAACATAATGAGGAGGAGGAGGAGGAGGATAGCAGAGGTTTCACTGGTTCACGCCCGCTTTCATTTTCCAGGGGGGCCCTTTTCACCCCGAAGCCGAAAGTCACACTGGGTGGCGGGGGTGGTGATGCGTCGTTGCTTCTTTGGCTTGTGTGTTCTCTTCACACGTGAGGCCAGCACGGGGTTCACCGCTGATGTGTGCTGGCAGAGACGTCGGCCGATCTCCATCTTCCCCGAGATGCTGGTGCCAGCGTTTCAATGAAACTCGCCTGTTGCGGGTGACTCGATGGGGCCAAGGCGCGAGGACAGGCCTCGGAGCCATGAAGACTTAGCTTAACTTAGCGCCTTCCTCCACTGGCTATTCCGAAAGGAGGAGGAGGAGGAGGAGGAGGAGGAGGAGGAGGAGGAGGAGGAGTCCTCCCTGTTCCTGTCCCACTTCGTTCCTCCCTCTGTTTCCACTCCCGTCCCCCATTCCCCTCTGGCCCGTCCTCTCCCTGCACCTCCTCCTCCTCCACCTCCTTCTCCTCCTTCTGTTCCTCCTCCTCCTTCTCCTCGCTCTTCGCTCCTCGCTCCTTGCTCCCTCCTCCTGCTCCTCCTCCTCCCTCCCTCCTCCTCCTCCTCCTCCTTCCCTCCTCCTTCCCCTCCCCCCTCCTCCTCCCTCATCCTCCTCCTCCCCCTCCTCCTCCTCCTCCTCCTCCTTGCATCCATCCCCTTGTGGTCCTCATTCTCACCCTCCTCCCTCGTCTTCACCTCTTCCCGCTTCGTTTTCTCCTGCTCGGCTCACCATTTCCGAGTGCGCATAACACGATGGGGTCTTCTTGGGAGCTGCAGGTCCGCTAGGACACGCGTTCGTGGATAGAGAAACGAACAACGCACTGGCAAGGGATTGGTGGGAGTGGTGGGGATGTCAGATATGGCGCGCGAGCGCGCCTAGCTTGCCCCCCCTCCTCCACCCACCCCCCCTCTCCACCTCCCTCCCCCGCCGCCGCGGCCCTGTTTCCCACCCCTCCTGCCTCTTCCCTCACCACCTCCTCCTCCTCCTCCTCCTCCTCCTCCTCCTCCTGCTCCTCCTCCTCCCCCTCCCCCTCCTCCTTCGCTGGAGGACAAGACAGCGTAAGCATAATACTTTGACGGTCCGCACAGATGTCTTGGATCTACGCGCTGGACACCCCCCCCTGGCGGCCGCCTCTTGGCGCGCTCCGCCAGCCAGGGACGGTGGCCCAGCGCAGATCAAAGAAAAGCGTTTTTCCTCCTCCTCCTCCTCCTCCTCCTCCTCCTCCTCCTCCTCCTCATCATCATCATATCATCATCATCATCATCATCATCATCTCATCATCATCATTCATCCCTCCCATCCTCATCCCTCCTCCTCCTCTCCTCCCCCCCTCCCCCTCCTCCTCCTCCTCCTCCTCCTTCCTCCTCCCTTCCCCATCCTCCTCCTCCTCCTCCTCCTCCTCCTCCTCCTCCTCTCTTTCCTCCTCTCTTTCCTCCTCCCACTCCCCCTCTCCCTCCCCCCCTTCATCTCCCTTCCTTGTGAATCACTCCTCCCTGTCGCAGTCCCAGACATGTCAGCAGGGCGGGCCGGGCGTTTGCCTTGAGACTTTCTCACCGTTTATTACCTAACAGCGAAGACTGATAGGTTTCTAGTTGACTCAAAAGAGCTCACAGATCACTCCACAGGGGGGTCTGGGCAGGCGTTGGGAGTTGCCGGCCGGGCCTGTGCCGGGCTCGTTTTTCACCAACAGTCACACACTTCGTGCTCGTCGACCTCTCAGAACCCCATTCCCAGGCCACATTCTGAATAACCGGATGCAACAGTCACACACTTCGTGCTCTTCGACTTCCCAGAACTCCATTCCCGGGCCACATTTTGAATGCCCGGAGCCAACTGTAGGCCACTTCGTGGTCTTCGAGTCCCAGAACTCCATTCCCGGGCCACATTTTGAATGCCCGGAGCCAACTGTAGGCCACTTCGTGCTCTTCGAGTTCCCAGAACTCCATTCCCGGGCCAGATTTTGGATGCCCGGAGCCAACTGTAGGCCACTTCGTGGTCTTCGAGTTCCCAGAACTCCATTCCCGGGCCAGATTTTGGATGCCCGGAGCCAACTGTAGGCCACTTCGTGGTCTTCGAGTTCCCAGAACTCCATTCCTGGGCATGATTTTGAATGCCCGGAGCCAACTGTAGGCCACTTCGTGTTCTTCGAGTTCCCAGAACTCCATTCCCGGGCCACATTTTGAATGCAGGCTGAGGCTGAGGCTGAGGCAGGCTGATGCTGAGGCAGGCTGAGGCTGAGGCTGAGGCTGATGCAGGCTGAGGCTGAGGCAGGCTGAGGCTGAGGCCGAGGCTGAAGGCAGACTGAGGCTGAGGCTGAAGCAGGCTGAGGCTGAGGCTGAGGCAGGCTGAGGCTGAGGCAGGCTGAGGCTGAGGCTGAGGCAGGCTGAGGCTGAGGCTGTGTCTGTGACTGCCGTTGCCACTGCGACTGTCATCGCGAATGCGACTACGACTGCGAGAACAGCACAATTCTACAACTGGATTCTCATCTGAATCTTAAGGGGAATGCTTCAAGATATGCTCCTACACATCGCTGTTAGGTTGCTTTGCCGGGATAATGTAATGGCCTCCAGCCCATACCGCCACCGTGCTTGGGTTGTGGATCGTTGGCCTCTAAGGTGTTCGCTGGGATGTCGCGGGAGGTCTCTCTCGGGCCTCGGAGGCAGGTTTGAGGTCTTTGGGGGGCCGTTGTGGGTCCTCCTGGGGCGTCTTGAGGGCCTCTTGGGGTCCTCTTGGGGCCTCTCGGGGGCCTCTCGGGGGCATCCTGGGACGGAAGGCTCGAATTGTCGGTTCGGGCTCCCGCTCTTGGACCCTTCTCGGGGCCGTCGTGGGGCTCTTTTTGGCCGTCTTGGGCGCCTCTTGGGCCATCTCGGGGCCCTCTTGGGGGGAGGTCTTTGGAGCCTCCTGGGCCGTCTTGGACATGGTAAAAGCTCAAATGCCGCGTATGCAACCACTGCACGTTTTCCGAAGGGTGCGTGATGATGTCTGCCTCTTGAGGCCTTCTTGGTTGTGCTCTTGGTGCGTCTGGGCGTCTTGGACCGATCGTTCTTTTGCGATTTGGGACTCTTCTTGGGGACCTCCTGGGGCGCTCTTGGCTCGCCCTGGAACCCGCGTGGGCCCGAACAAGTCAGGCGACAAGCCCAGGGAGCCACGCGACGAGTCCCGAGATATTTAAGGAATTGGGGCCTGGGACCCCTACGGTAATCCTCAGGATCGAAGGATGAGGCCTACTGGATTCTGAGCCAGTGACCTGGGGGCACTTCAACTCGTGCCTCGAGTTTCGCGCGGACCGTCGAGGCTCGATGTATATGCCGCTCCTTCTTCGATCCCCCTCCCGAGAGCCTGTCGGACGGGGCGCACATCGCACTTCCCTCATCCTGAAGCTCGCCGCCCGAGTCGACATGCGGGGCTGGGACGAGGATAAATCCGTTCTGGAGCGCCCTAAGATGGCCGCGGCGCCTGAGACATCCTCCAGAGCCGCGAGATCTCAGATATCTTCGTCCTGGTTTCGTCTTATCGACGGCGAGCGAGGTGGAGAAGTGAGAAGGAGAAGGTCTTCTCAGAAGGTTCGGAAGTTCCCTGGCCTTCTGAAAAGTTTTCTAAGCCTTCCCCGAAGGCACAGAAGCCTTCTCAGAAAGTCGGCGGGCTTTGAGAAGCCCCCGCCGTCTTCTGAGACGGCCTTCTCCTTCTCGCAACCAGTTGCGAAGCGTCCTGGCTTGCCTACAGGCCCGCCAGAGAATATTCTAAGAACCTTTTGGTTTGCACAACATATTATTGGAATTTTCCCGGCTGGGACTGTCTTGCTTTAGAATATCCGTTTAATGTTATGAGATAGTTGCTTCTGTTCCTGCAGGAATGACGGGAAGTTCGGTCCCTGCTCAATTCTCATTTTCCCCCTCGCTTCCCGCCGATCTTACGGTCAACCCGCATGGTAAGCATGGGTGTCTTTCCCGAGGGTACCTTTGCATCTTTGCCTCCTCGGTCCATCCTTGGCCACTTTCGTCGGCCGCGCCCCGCCCGAAAAGCTTCGAGATGGCCCTCTAAGGCCCTTGCATCCTTGTCGTGCGTCACTCTGATGCGGGTCGACTGCAGCCTGGCGCCAGGGCCCGGGCGATGGCTTCGACGACGCGCCGATGGAGGTCGTCCCGGCGCAGGCCGCCCTCGGCGGGGCGGTTGCGCCCTCCTCGCCCACGGAGATGCCCGTGCCGACGGACCTGCCGTCGCCCGGGGCGCTCGGGGAGGAGGGCCGCCGCCCCCCCGCGCTTTGGGCCCGGGAGGAGGGCCGAGGGTTCCCCCGCGCGACAGCACGCCCGCGGCCGAGAGTTCACGCCTCTTCCGGAAGCTGGGGCAATGGCAGCCCTCAGCTCTTGGCGCTGCAATTTGTTCACACCCGGCGTTTTCGCCTTTTTTCGGGCCCCAAGACCCTCACAGATCGATCCAGCTCGAAAAATGACGCAGGGTCTAGGGCTCCGTGCTTGACTTTTCCGATGTTGCATTTCTTGCGCTACGTCGGATCGCAGGGAGCCCCCGTGCCCGAGCCCTTTGCCAAGGATTTTCTCCAAAGAGGCTTGCCCTGTAGGAGTCCCGGCTCATCATAGGTAAGCAGGAGTCCCAGCTCATTCTCAGTAATTGATCTTTGGCCGCCCCCCCCTGTCTCCAGAGGCACGACCCTCCCCCCCCTTTTTCCAATGGCCCCCCCCCTTATTTGCTCTCGCTTGCTTGCTCTAGCTTGCCCTTGCTTGCTTGCACTTGATCGCTGGCTCTTGCTTGCTTGTTTTTGCTCGCTTGCGCTTGCTTGCTTCCGCTTGCTTGCTTGCGCTTGCTTGATTTTGCTCCTCCCGTCCTGCTCCCGTCCTCCTTTCATCCTCCTCCCATCCTCACCTCGTCCTCCTCCTGTCCTCCTTGGCTGATATTGGTCTTTAGCACCCCCCCTCCCTTTTTCCAATGGCACCCCCCCTTATTTCCAATGGCCCCCCCTCCCCCCTCTTTTTGCCAATGGCACCCCCCCTTATTTCCAATGGCACCCCCTAGCTATTTCCAATGGCGAGTCCTATGGATTCCTATGAGTCGCTTGCCTTTGCTTGCTCCTGCGTGCTCTTGCTTGCTTGCTTGCTTGCTTGCTCTTGCGTGCTTGCTATCGCTTGCTTGCTCTTGCTTGCCCTTGTTTGCTTGCACGTGATCGCTGGCTCTTGCTTGCTGTTTGTTGCTCGCTTGCGCTTGCGCGCTTCCGCTTGCTTGCTTGCGCTTGCTTGATTTTGCTCCTTCCGTCCTGCTCCCGTCCTCCTTTCGTCCTCCTCCCATCCTCATCTCGTCCTCCTCGTGTCCTCCTATCTACTTGGAGTCAACTCTGGCTGGTATTTGTTTTTCTTCCGCAGAAGCCGGACCCCCTGAGGGCTCCTCGGTGCGCCCGTGGGAATGCTTTCCTTGCGGATGGCCCCCCATGGGTCCTAGGTTGGAGTCGTCAGGGTGATGCGACAGCGTCGGGCGCCACCCACCATGCCCCCTGGCCGCGTGGAGGGGCTCCCGCGGGCTGGGCGCTAGGGGACCACCGGCGGAATCTAGAAGTGCCTGCGCTTGGCGGCCCTGTTGGGTGGGCGACCCGATATGGGGCCGCCTCATGCGAGCGGAAGGGAGGAAGGGGGGGGGGTCAAGAGGAGGAAAAGACACCAATACTGCTACCCTTACCTCGTTTACTCCGTTTTGGGCCTCCAGGGAGGCACTCGCGTCGCCACCGCTGCATGCGCCTCGAGATCATGGTCAGGACGCGCCCCCGGGGAGTAGTGGCATCATGTCTTTTTGGTTTCCCAGGGAAGAGGGCTGGGCTATGGTGCCATGAGATCTCCTCTTGCAGTGCAGCATGCTCCCTGGCCCCCCGTCCGCCGCGCACGTGCCTCGGGGCGCCCCCGAGCGGGGCGGGGGGGGCACGTCGAGGTGGAGGCCGAGGAGGAGAGCCTGAGAGGGCCGACGCGGCGCTGGGGAGGATAGGACGGGATGGAGGGGGACAGGTGCGCCGAAGTGGCGAGAGCGTGGGGGGGGGTGCAGGCGGTTTTGAGCACTCCCCGGTCCTCCAGGAGGGGGAGGGAGAGGGACGAGGAGAAGGAGAAGGAGGGGGAGGAGGAGGAAGAGCAGGAGGAGGAGGAGGGGCGGAGACGAGGAGGAGGAGGAGGAGAGGGGAGGAGGAGGGGGAGGAGGAAGGGAAGGAGGAAGGAGGAAGGAGGAAGGAGAAGGAGGAAGGAGGAAGGAGGAAGGAGGAGGAAGGAGGAGGAAGGAGGAGGAAGGACGGAGGAGGAGGAGGAGGAGGGAGGAGGAGGAGGGAGTGAGGATGGGGAGGAGGCGGAGGGGAGGAGGAGGAGGAGGAGGAGGAGGAGGAGGAGGAGGGGGAGGAGGGAGGAGGGAGGAGGAGGAAGGAGGAGGAGGAGGAGGAGGGAGGAGGGAGGAGGGAGGAGGGAGCAGGGAGCAGGGAGCAGGGAGCAGGGAGCAGGGAGCGGGGAGGAGGGAGGAGGGAGAGGGAGGAGGGAGGAGGGAGGAGGGAGGATGGGATGGAGGGGAGGGGAGGAGGAGGGAGGAGGAGGAGGGAGGAGGGAGGAGGGAGGAGGAGGAGGT